ACACAACAAATGACAACTTTCAGTTCTTTACAACCTATAAAGTGTTTTGAAACGTACTCTGCGTAATAATTTGGAACGGTGCATTGGAAGTTTTTTATTTAAAAAAAAAATACTGTTATAATTAGGAGGTTTGTTCAATAAAATTTGAATTGTACTCTTAATAGTTGAAAACATGAGAATTATGCTGACTGTTATTTACATCAATTATTTAGGTCAATGAGAAAAATATCATTTGCATAATAATTTGGAACACGGTGTAGTAATGGCGGCTATCAGTGACTTATAGTGGGACTGTGATCGTATGGTGGGCAATCTAATACTGACACTTTTGACACTTTGCGGGAACCAGTGACTCTAATACAGTGATCAGTGCTAATAATATACACTGACACTGTACTAATGACACTGGCTGGGATGGGGTTAACATCTAGAGGCACTCAAAGAGTTAACTGTGTGCCTAACAGTGTTTGGTGCATTAACTGTGTGCTGTTTTTACTAAGGGATGTGCCAGTTTTTTTATTGCAGGGAAACAAAAACCTGAACATCCCCACTGACAGTACAGCGCTCTGTGTTGTTTGCATTCACAGGCTCTGTCCTCTTCACAGTGGGTCCCGGCTGACAATCACTGACTGGGACCTGCTGATTGGCTTGTGTTTTGACTAATCACAGCACAGCTGGGGCGGTGGACCCATGCGCCCCCTACCCGGAAAGGTTATGTCAGGATAACATAGACAGGATGTAGACAGGAGAAAAGAGCAGAGAGATGACCACATCAATGAGCCACTGATCCCTCACTATCCAATCACAGGCAAGGCCAGATCAGCAAAACCGCCTGTATTGCTTTCATTGTAGTAGAGAAAACTGTGGTCAGAAATATAACTCAGGAATGTTCAATTTATATAGCCCAATGCCCGAGGCATGTAGTTCTGGGTGCCTAGCAGGTAGTTTTTTTAATCCTTTAGCCCAGCTGCGGTCAAGCAGCAGGGCTCACCTGTTAGGTGGAACCATTTGGGCGGCTGCACTGCCGCCCGATTGCTTCCACACAGCCCACTACAGTGCCAGCCTCCGCCCCCTGCCCACTATGTCTCCTTTGCTTCGCTTGCCCATCTGCAGGCCTTGGACCAGTTCAGTGGGTGCCGGCAGGTATAGGGGAGGGAGGAGAGTGGACACATCCACTCCCCTCCCCTTCTTGTTCTAACCCGGAAGTGACATTGTGACATCACTTCCAGGTCACCGTTGACAGATTTCCCATTCATCGAGGCCGGGGAAAGAATGTAATGCAGTGCGATGTGCAATGCATTACATCCAGTGCAGCACAAGGGAGACACCCATAGTCTTTTAGATCTCAGATGTCACAATAAAAAGAACCTGTCACCAAAAATCATCACATAGGTGACTGAATGTTATGAAAAAAAAGTTAAGTAAACAAATTTTTTTTTAATTATAAAAATGAAAACGTTACATCCAAACACATACCCCCCCCCCCCCCCCAAAAAAAAAAATTGAGGCCCTCCCCACCCCCACATATATACGCATGTACAAATGCAAATGCACACACTGGGCACCTACACACACATATCGCCGCGCATGCCAAAATGAAATCAATAATTCCAGCACCAGACCTCAACACTAAGCTGATGACCTATAAAGGGCTTATAAACGTCGCCTATAGAAAATATAGGGTACTGAAGTTTTCACCATTTCATGAGCGCACACAAATCTAAGGTTTGTCATGCTGGATATCCATTTACTCAGTGTAATCTCATTTTTTATATTTTACAAAAAAATTGGGTAATTTATCGCTTTTTTGTGCCCTAAAACTAACTTAACCCGTACACAAATATGCAGCCCCACGGAAAAAAGCACAATTCATATTTTGTTACGTTGGCGTCAAGGGGTTAAGTGTATTTTTTGCTGAAATTTTGCATTTTTACTAGACCTTTGTGGTCATACCATGTGACAGAAAAATTGCAACTACCATTATTTTATTCTCTAGGGTCTCTTCTTTAAGAAAATATATAATATTTGGGGGTGTTGTGTAATCTTTAATCCTAAAATGATTTTTTAAATGTGCAAAAAAACGCAAAAATGGCTCTGGCAGCGAAAGGGTAAAGGATAAGCTGGACACTCCCCTTTTCTGGCGAGTACCCAATCAGTGCTCATTACACTGCAAGATCTATTCACTCCGTGCTGGTGCCCATGTGCGGTGCCTGGAGACAAGCAGGGAGTGGAGGAGAGGAGGAGATAAACAGCGCAATGGTAAAAATATTTAACATTTAAGTCGCCGTAAACGCCCCTTTTGTTTTTAAAAGCCCCAGACTAAGAGCACTTCAGATTTAAATACAAGTTTTGATTAAATGTATTTATTTTTTTTATCTGGACAACAAGTAGTTTTTTCAAAAATGTTCACACCCCTGTAACTATGCTGTCTGGTAGGGGTAACTGACTCTCAAAAATGGCTGAGCAGAATTATAAAACAGATAATAGATAAGAATTCCAATTTTGAATGTAGCTGTTTGCCTACAGATATGCTTTAACCACTTGATGTCAGACTGCAATACCCCTTCATTACCAGGCCTTCATTACTCTGTCATGCAGCACTGTACACAAGTGAATGTTACATTTTTTTTGAGACAGATAGAACTTTATTTTGGTGGTATTTAAAGTGGAAATTTACTCTCCCAATCAACACTGAACATGTTTAATCCACATGCTGCAGCATTAGTAAATAGATAGGAAAGTATATCACATTTACTTGTTTTAAACTTTTTTTTAACATTTCTTTCAGTTACTTCCTGGTTTCTGGCCTAGTAAAATGATGTCATACATCCCAGTCGTCTTTAGGAGAGGAGGAGGAGCTTTCCGAGCTAAGCACATCCTTCTGCCTGCATGCCTCAGCTAGGGCAGATGGATTCCAGGAAGTAAATGCTACATGAGTCATCTGCCCTAGAGACATGGACATGGATGGATGGGGGAGCTTGCTTTAAATATTAAAAATGAATGAAATAGTGTTTCTGGTTTAGAGCGCTCAGACGTAGTGAAGTTCCACTGGGTTTACCAATACCAATTACCAATTACCAATGGGTTTTTTTAAATTTTTTTACTATAACGCTGCATTTTTGGTGAACGTTTAAGAAATTGCACCAAAATCACACTTCCCCATTGAAATTAATGTAAAACACATCAAAAACGCACCGCGTTTGCATTTTTGGTGCCCATTTTTGTCACAGGAGCAGGCAACCAAAAGCACTGGAAAAGCATCAAAAACACGTATGTGTTTTTAACCACATTTTTGCACATCAAGCATTGTGAAAGCTGCCTAAAAAAGATAAAAAAAAAAGGCCAAAAATGTAAAATAAATATTTCCCTTACTTGCTGTTATAATGAAAATGCCAGAATAGTATGAACCCCCCCCCCCCCCCCTTTAATGGAAAGTAGACACTCTCAGGTGATCTCATTTTATGCTACAATTTTTTTGGAAAGGAAAGAAAATGCTGGTACTGGTATTATTTGTTTATGATGTTAAAGTTCATTACATAAAAAAGGTGGAGTGGAGGTCACAGACTTAAGGCCCCATGTACACGGGACACTTCTGAACGATGGAAGTTGACTGCTGGAAACGTAGGTTAAAAAATGTCTGTTTAGCTGCGTTTGCATAACGTGTTTTTGCGCGTTTATGTGTGTTTGCGTTTAGAAGCGCTTTTTCAAAGATAAGAACAGGAGAACCTCACAAATGTCCAGAATGCACTGAAAAGTGGTAAATTATTAACTATTTCAGACTGTTCCAGAGAAATACAGAGAGTAGAAGCAGAGACAGCAGTAAGTGTTGAGATAATTAGGTGGGAGTTGCTCATTAACATTTCTTTTGTTTCCAAGGGTGGGAAGGTGTCTGGTGGAGTGAGTCATTAAGGTCACCTGGCAGGGGGTCTTCACGAGGAATTTGAGGTGTGAATGGTCATTTGTTTCCAAGGGTGGGTGTGGATTGGTCATTACAATGTGTGACAAGCTTGGTAGGAACATCCTGTGTTCAGTGTTTTGTTCATCTGAGTACCTTGAAAAAACGCTTTGCATGCATTTTTTATGCTGAAAATAGGCTCTGGACAGCATCAGGAACTGGAAGAGTTAAACAAAAAATTCAAACGCAAATGCTTATAAAAGTGATTTGCCGCGTTTAGAGTTTGAAAGACTGATAAAAATCGACGTCTGAACGCAAGTTTGTTGCGTTAAAAAAAAAAAACGACTGTAAACTCAACTGCCTGTAAGCGCCTGTAAACGAAGATGTGTACATGGACACATAGGAAAACATTAGGGGGAGTTCAGGGGCTGCTGAACAAAATGCTGACCAGCTCCTAAACGTGAGTTTATCAGCTGCAGTGTACATGAGCCCTTACTGTTCACTCTGCAGCCATTGATTGTTACATTGAAGTTCACTAAAACAAAAAGTACTGCCTGGACCTTGAAGAAGGGGACATACCACGAAAGCTTGTCTTCAAAATTGGATGTTAGTGCAAATAAAAAAAGTATCACGTCAGTACTCAATTGTTTCTGACTAAAACAAAAACAAAGTTGGAGTGGAGGTGACATGTTTCCTGTCCAGAGTGGAGCTCCAGTCTGCAGCCACACCCCCTTGAAAAGTATACACAGCAAGTATGTGACAGGAAATATGTGACCTCCACTTCCTTGAGTTATGTCTATTGGTTGTTTGTTACAGTAAAGTTCGTGCAATAAAAAAAAAAAGTTGAGTGGAGGTCACATGTTTCCTGGCGAGTGGAGCTCTGCTTTCAACAAAAAAAAAGGAATGGGAGTCACGTGTTTCCTATAAAAAAAATGGAGCTCCATTCCGCAGCCAGATCCCTTCTCTCTCCACACACAGCCCGGACACATGCCAGCTTTCCAGCAAATCAGCGCTCTATGGGCGCTGCTTCAAGAATCACTGGGCGGAGCTGCGCGCTCAGGCCGTGACCTGGGACCAATGAAGAAGCTGACGGGCGTGGTTCCGTGCGCTGGGTGGGCGTGTCCCAGCGCAGCGTCCTCTCTCCCGGAAAGCGTCGTGTGACGTCGGTGCCGCACAGGAGCTGCGGCGGTCGCTGCGGAGAATGGTGTTAATCAAGGAATTGTAAGTGCCGGGCCGGGCTGGGAGGCGGCGGGGGAGCGGGCTGTCCGGGAATGGCTGTTGTCAGGGAGGAGGGCGGCCGGGCTCCTGGGGGTGGGGTGCGGTGCCGGGTGTCTGGCTCTCTTCCATCACTGACACTGCACTCTGATTCACCCTGACTGGCGTCATCACACTGACAGCACAGACAGGGACGGTGTGCAGGCTCCCTGTGTGTGTTCCGGGCAGATCATCATCCCCCATGGTGGACACAGTCCATGGACTCCCCCTGGTGTGCTCACTTCTACAGGCTCTCACTGACTCCTCCAAGGATTTGTTCTCGCCAGAACTTCTGGCCTGTGTCCCCCTTGGGCAGATTTGCTCTCACTTCCTGTCCTGTTGTCACTGCTGATAGGCCCAGGGAACACAACAAAGCACATCAAGTAGAGCAGTGTGGGGTTTAAGCCCCTGTCAACTTGTTATAGCTCCATGTCTTCCAGACTGGGCGACACCTGCACCCTCTTAATCCTTGTCATGGTGTCACCGGGATAATTCGTGAGAGAGAGCCGCCCCAGTGTTGACACACACTATAAACTTTTTACACAAAACAAAGTCTTTTGGCAGATGGTGGGTTTTAAAGTGTCCTTCCAGTAAACCTGATTACATTAACCACTTGTCCTCCAGAAGATTTACCCCCCCCCCCCCCCCCTTCCTGACCAGGCCATTTCTTGCAGGATGGCACTGTTACTTTGACAATTGTGCAGTCATGCAACGCTGCGCCCAAATGAAATTTATGTCCTGTTTTTCCACAAATGGAGCTTTCTTTCGGTGGTATTTGATCACCTCTGCATTTTTATTTTTTGTGCTATAAACAAAAAATGACTGACATTTTGAAAAAAAAAAAAACAATATTTGACTTTTTGCTATAAAACATCCAGTAAAAAGTTTAAAAACAAAATTTCTTCATAAATTTAGGCCAAAATGTATTCTGCTACATGTCTTTGCTAAAACAAATCCCAATACGTGTAAATGAATTGGTTTATGTGAAAGTCATAGCATCTACAAATGGCAGTATATATGCTGAGATTTTTATTTTTCTTACACTAGTAACAGCAGTGATCAGTGACTTATAGAGGGACTGTGGTGGGCATTCTGACACTGGGGGGGGGACTGAATAACTGCCACTGACATCCCCAGTGACACTAAGCCCGCGGTCACATCAAAGCCAATTTTGAAATCGCGGACTTACAGTGACATCAGACATCATAGACACATCATAGATACAGATGTCTATATAAACCACACCAAAAGTAGTGAAATGCACTACTTTAGAAATCGGTGCGGCTCTGACCAAGTCAGAACCGCACCGATATGACCGCTGTAATAGCGGATGATAGGGTGCGACGTGGCATATAATTTGCAAATCGCATGCCAAGTCGCACTTGATGTGACCGGGTGTAATACAGTGATAAGTTCTAATAAAAAGCACGGACACTGTACTAATGACACTGGGCAGGAAGGGGTTAATATCTGGGGCGATCTGTGTGCTGTTTCACTATGGACACATGCTGTTTTGTATCTCTCTGCTGTTTGTTTACACACAGGTCTCTCCCAGCTTTCCCTGAGGATCACTGAGTGCCGGACGGGACCCGGTGATTGGCATCCCTAGCCACCAATAGAAGTGCGGGTAGGGTGGCGGGCCCAGCCCTGCCACCCTGTAGCAGTACTTCTACTAAAGGGTGGCGGGCAAGCGGTTAAAGTGGAATTCCAGGCTAGAACTAACTAAGCTTAAAGTGATATTAAAGTCTTGTGTTTTTTTTTTTTTTGTCATACTTACCTGCTGTGTGCAGTGGTTTTGTACAGAGCAATCCCCGATCCTCCTCCTCAGGTCCCTCGCTGATGCTCTTGGTCCCTCCCTTATGCCGTGTGCCACCACAGCAAGGAGCTTGCTCTGGAGGCACCCAAGCAAGCGTGCTCTTGAGCCATAGCTCTGCATGTCCATTCACACACACAGCTGCAGCTCAGCCTCGCCCCCTCCCTCTCCTGATTGGCTTTCTGGCTGTGATTGACAGCAGCGGGAGCCAATAGCTCCTTAATTGGATGAGAGTCCCCAGAGAACCAAGGGTCTTTTTGTTGTGTGTTTGAGGAGATTTCCCTACACAGGTCCTGGCGACACAACAGGAAGTGAAAGGAAATCTCCCCAAAGTGAGAGGAAAGAACTTAATCTCAATTCACACTACTGCTACCTGAAAGTCATGCGGCTTTGCCAGGCAACTTGAGCACAACTCTGAAGCAACTTTCAGGGAATGCTTGGGTCATCTTCCTGTATTGTCGGATCTAAATGGCATCAATATAGATGAGGATCCAACTTGAAGGCTACTTCTATTAAAGTGGATTTTTACCTAAAAGTGGAAGCTCCACATGTTTGTCACCCACCCCCTCCCATTACTGCCATATTTGGCACCTTTTGGGGGAGAGGATACCTGGTTTTGACAGGTCAAACTTTCGCCCAGTTGGCCGCAGCGAAGTGAGCTGGAAGTTCGGTCCCCCTCCTTCCTCCCGCAGTATTCTGGGACACTTCACAGGTCCCAGAAGACTGCTGGATCAATCTGGATACACAGCGCGTCTCGCGCATGCGCAGTGGGCACCCGGCTGTGAAGCCGCAAGCTGTCACAGCCTGGTGTCCTCACTTGAGATGCCGGAGGGAGGGAAGGGATGGCGCAGGTGAGCACATCGCTGAATTGAGGGACAGGTAAGTGTGTATTTATTTAAAGTCAGCATTTACAGTTTTTGTAGCTGCTGGCTTTTAATAAACACAAAACTGACTGGATCTCCGCTTTAAAGTATATGGTCACAAGTCAGATGGAAGTCACTTTGAAGTAGTACAGGAACCTTTTCTACAGTTGGAGCGACTTCAGTAGTGCTAATTAAGACCGCTGTCATTGACCAACGTGGGATTTCACATGTCATGCGACTGGGGGTCTCACAAGTCAGATCGCAAGTCGTGGCAGTGTGAACCGAACCTAAAGGTAGAATTGAAGGTAAAACACGTTTTATTTTTGCATAGAATAACGGCCAGTTCACACTATAGAAACACAGTCCAGAAGCCTTCCGGATGCGTTTTTGATGCGCTCCGGCACGTTTTTTATGTATTCCAGTTCATTTTTCCTCTTGTTTTTTCTTCAGTTTAAATAGGGACATGTGCATTTTTGGTGCTTTCCGGTGCATTATGCCTTTTACCACATTCCAGTACAGTTCTGTGCAGAAAAAAAATGCATGTTCTACTTTTTTTTTTTTTTTTTTTTTTTTTTTTCTGCAACTCGAAACTGGAATTTAAAGCACTGATGTGAACTATGACATTGACAACCATATAACCTACCTTCTGTGCATTTTGGATACAGAAAAAAGCAACTGAAATGCATGTAGTGTGCACTGGCCCTAAAGGAGGGTTACAATTACAACCCCTGTCAGTTTTGTGTCCCATCAGGGAGATCTCCCTAGTGTGGAAACCTACAGCAATAGAAATGTGACAGGGGTTCTTATCTCTCTCCATTCTACCCAAAACAAGAAAACCATTGACTTTTAAAGCGATACTAAAGGTTCCATTTTTTTTATAAAACAACAAACATGTTACGCTTACCTGCTGTATGTAGTGGTTTTGTACAGTGAAGCCTGAATCCTCCTCTTCTCGGGTCCCCTACTGGTGCTCCTGGCACCTCCTTTCTGTCGGGTGCCCCCATAGCAAGCAGCTTGCTATGGGGGCACCCTAGCAGGCCTTTCCCAAGCCACTGCTCTGTGTGTCCATTCACACATGGAGTTACAGCTTGGTCCCGTCCCCTCTCTCTTCATTGGCTGACTGGCTCTGATTGCCAGCAGCAGGAGCTGAAGGCTCCCGCTGGCTGTCTCAGCCAATGAGGAGGCTAAGGTAAGTAATGAGCAGGCTGGGCACTGCTGCACACAGAAGATTTTTTACCTTCATGCGTAGGATGCATGAAGGTAAAAAAACCTTCAGCCTTTACATCCACTTTAAGGGCCTGTGTCAGTGGGCTTTGGGCTTGTGTGGATGGGGAAATGCAACGTGATTTTAGGTAGGTTATGCTTGCATTTGAGATGTTCACAGTTCATTGATTGTTACATGTGTCTTGCCGGTCACCTCCTTCTCACATTTGACTTCTACACTACGTTAAAGTGTTACTAAACCCACAACAGTAAAATCAGTCTGTATATACAATAAAGCATGCTTGTTATACTAGCTATGGAACCTAAGGGGTTAAGCCTCCGCATTGTGTGTAAAAAGGCTGTTTGGTTCTGTCTTCTCTGGTCCTCCCCCTTCTACTGTCCCCTATCCATCTGCTGTTGGACAGAGCCTTGGGGACAAGCTGTACATGCTTAGTTTGGTGTGTGTTTCTAGACATTTTTATTTTCTTGGGAGAATGCATGTGATCAGCACAGGGCCAATCAGTACTGTCTAGACAGAGGGTCAGGGGCTATGCAGTCTCATAGGACAATCAGGGGAGAATGAAGAATCCTAAAAGCTTTAACCAGTGCTCTGCTGGACACTGATAGAAGTCACAAGACTGCTCTAACTGCTGATGAGAAAAGATATTTAGCAGTTTTATATTTACTAAAATAATTGCGTTTCCATATGGTGTGTACTGTGAGAGACCAGATATAGTGAATGCAGGGTCCTGGATTTGGTAACACTTAAAGGCTACATTCACACAGATGACTAGCTCTGGGGTTAATGACAATGGTGGGATTCTTCTGATTTCCTGTTGCTGTGAGAGGCTAGCTGCAGCCATGTTTACTCTAAGGACAGGTTGCCGGCAGCCACGGCTGTCCACACAGCTAGCGATCACTGCAGCTAATCCCTGTGACCGCTGGCAGCCTGTCATGGTGAACAGGTTCAGCTGCCACAGCTAACCTCTCGCAGCAGGAAATCCGAAGATTTCTGCCACTGCAGTTCACACCGGGTCAAATCGCCAGTGTGAACTGCATGCTTTGAGCTGCCTTTACATTCCAGATGA